ACTAACTTATATATTTAGTCCCTAATAAAGCCATTGAAAGAATTATGGAGTCCCACGAAGGTCTTCATAAAAAAATCGATCAATTATTAGAACGGCAAAAAATTATAGAGGATAAGGTCACCCACCTGGAAAATGAAATTCACGTGAGTCAACATTTAATCACCGAACATGATTTTATCGAGGTAAGATTCATTTTATTTTTTTCAAAGGTCTTCGAAAACTTATATTTTATTTAAATAGCGCGTAGTTAAGAGTATCGCGAAACAAGTATTTTTTGAAAAAATATACCCAGACCTTGAAGACTTTCACTGAACAACCAAGGAATTTTTTCAGCAAGAATATTCAGAGTTTTATGAAGACCTCACAAGAAAATGCTGGAAAACATATTATGAAAAACATATTTATCAAGTGGTAATTCTTTTAAATATTGACCTGTGTGTCTATAGTGTAGTGGTTAATACTTCACAGGTCAAATCACAAGATACCGGTTCAATCCCAGGTGAAGTCGATTGAATAGAACATATATGGTATCTGGCACCATAATCTGTTGTGTGCTGTTTTTCATGTGAAGCCGTTTCACATGCTGATCCAGCAGGCATTGAGATTGTGATTTCCAGAAAAGATGTTGCAGTGTAACAATTATCCAGTTGGCATTACGATGATATTTGTCAAGTTTGGTATAATTTTCAGTTCCACAACAGATTGTTTTCCCTTTCTATAGTTTACGAGACTATAAAAGAAATTATGGAGGACCACAAAACCGGAAAATTCTCAAGCAAGAATTTCAGCACAACCCCCCTGCAGCACGAGTTACACACTTGCCAGTGACACCCACTATTCTTATCTATAGTGAAGGTACTTAGTTGGTAACGATCGCCAGAATGGAAGACTTCCTTAAGACTTAGCCTGATTTTGGAGGATTTGCGCCCTCTTAAATAAGCAGCCTATGCTTGAAGCCCGGCATTATTTACAAAGAATTGGATCGTCAACCCCGAGAAGGTTTAAAGGTACACTACTGATCAAAGGGTCTCATCCGTTTCCCAAATGGGAATCTCCTTGCATTAATTGCTAAGATTGTTGATTCAAAAGAAGAGGACCGGAAATTTGAGACACAATACTCTGATGATTAATCTGGTTGATGTTAAAAGACTTAATAGAAGGTTTACAGATTTGAAGCTGAAAGATATAGAAAATTGGTGTGCTTAAAATAGCACTTATAGGTAAGCTACACCTGGATAGTATACTTGTGAGTGAATTCTAATTGTAATAATTCATGTGTGAATAGAAATATACAATATATGTCATTTATAACAAATTAATAAAAATTAGAATAAAGTCTATTTGCATTTAAAAAAAAAAAAAAAAAATTCTTATAAATATTAATACTTTGGGTTCAGTAGTTATTAAATACCTTATTGCTTTAAAAGCTCGTAAAACAACATTGATCGCTTCGGGGGACTATGGCTTCAAAAATTCGTGATGCCATGTTTTTGATCTTTGGCAAAGAGTTTTTGGATACAATAAATAAAAATGCATCTGTTGCTGATATTTTGGCCTGGAAACAATCTCAAAAGATTGCCGAATGCTTTAATAACCTTCACAAATGTCCAAGAGAAGAGACACAAAGCATGATGGCCCGTATTTTTGAAAAAGTCTGACCAAAAAAAGATACCTCCGAGGAACAAGTGGCATTCGCCATTGCAGTATGTTAAACAATTTTTGATCCAAATAATAAAAGTATTTCGATAAATGAAATGTTAATTAAAAGCAAAGTAAAAAAAAATAAAGTAAGTTTTTAAAAATCTTCGAAGTTTTATAAATTATTGCTAATAATATTTTAGGAGATAATTAAAAAAGAACTCGGATTCAAAGAAGAAACTTCAAGTAGCGAAGATAAAGAAATGACTAAGTGACAAATTATTACTATAAGTGATAATCCGGAGAAATGCGAAAATACTGAAAATGATCTGGGACACTTACTAGAAAATAGAGAATTAGAAAGAAGGACTTCAGCAATGAGTGAAGATTTAACCAAATAAATAAATGTAAACAAGCATTATGTAATAATAAATAATTTTAAAAGTCAATAAAATAAACATTAAAAATTGAATATTAATAGATTATAATATGTTAATATAAATATATTTTATTATTATTAAAATAAATCAAAGATCTCTGGAGTTTAATATAGTAACTTTCGCTCCGGTGTCTTTTAACGATGAAGAAGGTCTTCTGGAAGTCTATGCTCAAAAATCTCAGAGATCTTTGCTAAAAAATTTCCTGATGAAATTTAAATTCATTGATGGGTGTTTTGCAAATTATGTGACAGTTTAGCTTTAGTATAGTATTTATATTGTATTACTGTTTTCCAAAATAAATAAATAAATACAACTCTTGCAATTTGATTAGAGGCAAAAAAAAAAAAAAAAAAATCTCTATATCTTATAGGTTCTTTCTAATTTTATAAAAAAAATCATTAAAGATAATAGGTTTCTGAATATTGGATAAATGTAAATAAGGCAAGTATTAAGCTATAGTTTAATATTATAGATAATATTTGATTTATTCTATATATTGTATTTTTGTATTATATTTATAATATATATATAATAAAAGATTGATATTTAATGTCTGTTCTACTTTAAAAAAAAATAAATTATATTTAGTTAATTGAATAAGTAACTTTTTTATTTTATTAAAATTATAAATTGAAATTATAAATTAAAATTATTAATTAAAAACAATATTAAATTTTTATTTTACTTTATATTAATTAAATTTGAAATAAAAATTCAAAAATAAAATTATTTTTTTTTATTTTTTTTAAAAAAAAACTTTAAATAAAACCAAATTGAAAATTATTTTACTTTATTAAAATTATTTTAAACCAAAAATAACAATTCTTTAAAATAGTGAAATATAAATAAACAAAAATTTCTTATATTAGCAAAAACTTACTAAAAAAATATTTAGTAAATAACTTTTCAGAAGCTAAAAATTATATAATAACAAAAAAAAACCTTTTAAATCCTGATATGATTAATTATTTAGTATTTCTAAAAGTGCAATACATTATGTCACATTTTAATATTTTTCCCTCTCTTAAATAATATAGTAATTAAATATTTTAGAACAAGTAGTCAAGCCGGATCATGTGATTAACCGAGTTGGTCGAGTTGGCATGTAATCGTGCTACGTTTGATCACGTGAATTTGTTTCTTTATTTTTAAATGTTGATATTTATCCACTCACACATAAAACAGTAAATAATTGGGTGCGAAAGATGGAAGAAGCCTCACGACAACGAAAAGAACGACTGGAAGCGTTGAGGAAACGAAAGTTGGCTTCCGAAGAAGTAGGTGGAACGGATAATGAAAAGTAGGTGACGGGACTGGGGATGCTTTGTAGGTAGTTTGCGAAGGACTTTTTTTCGGCGGCTATATTCTTAAGAGGGTAGATTTCGATGAACCGATCCAACTGAACTAATCCGTATTTGGACTTTCTCACTCACGAACGCTGCCTCCTTAAGAAAACCGGCTCTAAAATTTCGAAATTATACACCGATAAATGAGGAAATAATAAATGCAGCGGCTAAAATTCACATAACAACCCCCGATGATCTGAGCGAGACATTGGAGAAACAGGCGGTTAAAATTACGAAAGAAGTTGAGGCTGTTGAAGAAGCTAAACGTGCGGAAGAAGTGGTGTGTTTCATAACGTGAATAACACGTAAAACAAGAATTAAATATTTCACTTGAATATTTATTTGCTAAAGATTATTATTTATTTATGTAATTCTTCATGGGAGTAGGATTTATTCAACTTGGCGCCAAAGAAACCAAATTGGGATCTCAAACGGGATGTAGAAAAGAAATTGGCAAAACTTGAAAGAAAGACACAAGCTAGTGTCGCAAAGTTGATAAGTAAGATATTCTCAATTATAATCTTTCTTTTTGATATTGCGTAATTGTCCCTACTTTTCAAATCACGTTCTTTATTAATCACTAGTTCTTCTATAGGAATCAGACTTCAGAATGCGTTAGCGGATGAGGCTACTGTGGATTTGGTCGATGCTGTAGATGCACAACAGAAAGCTGATTCTGGAGATGATGATTCTGACTAATAATTAAAGCACCGTTAGAAAGGAAAGCCTGCATTATATCAATCGTTTTTTATGAAATTATAATATTAAAAAATCATATTAGAACGAAATTTTTAAACTCAAAATCAAAAACGAACATCTCAAGGTACACTAATTTTATAAGTTATGTCAAATAGTAGAAGCATAATATTTGTTGAATCGGTATAGTCCTAGAAACATTTGTTATGTAGAAAACTTGCAAACTCACTTTAAAGCTTGTATCGGCAATGAAAAATTTTTCAAATTTTGTTTTTCAGCTATAAATTCCTGATAATAAAAAGGTAAAATATTAAAAAAGACTTGATACATTATTAAAGAAGTAGATAACAAAATTTCAAAAGGTCTTTAATATTTCATTTTAAAAATTACAAAGAAAAAAAAAATATAAATATATAAACAATTCAAGACAATGTTTAATTTTTTTTATTTGATTTTATTAATGTATAAATATGAATTATATATATATGAAATAAAACTCAAAAACCATAAATCCAAGCAAGGATGTCAGTTCACAGGTGGTGAAAATGGTAGTACTATGCTATGTTAGTAATACATCTTGAGGATTGGTAATAACAGTGTCTGGAATACTGGAGTTGATCTCTATAATAATATTTTACAATGTGTCTCACTTATGACAAATGCAGTTAAGACAAGATCTAGGAGGTTGGGTAGTTTAAACTAGTAGTAGGATTTTCACTCCTTTATGTAAGTTTCACTCAGTGTGTAGACCATTTACTTGATGTTTAAAGTTTCATATATTGAGTATGTCAAAGTTGTAACATGAAAAACTAGTAATTAGAAATAGTTAGCTTAGGTTAGCATTAAGTTACTATTGGTAAAAGATGTTTAATATAATGGCTATAAATTCTCGTTTAATAAAAGTCTTGTATCTAAAATATGTTATAACTAAAAAAAAAAAAAACTTAAAAATCATATAATAAAATCATATAATAAATAATTGGAAATTATATTTAATTCAGAATCATACTATTAATAAATTTCTTTTCATAGTATAAGGAGCATATATAATATATATATTTTTTCGATTAGTTAGTTCTTACCTAACATATTTTTAGTTTATATTTAATTTATTATATTATATTCAAATATAAATTTGACTTAAATATAAAATTTTAATTTTAATATTATATTATATTATTTTTTTAATATTTAAATATATTAAAATTTTATAAGTCCAAAAATATTAATTAGTTTTTAATAACAATTAGCTTTTAAGTAAAAAATACAAAATTTAAATTGTTAATATATTAAAAGATTGTAATACTTAAGTAATATTTCAATAAAAGTTATATATCTAATGCCATTCTACTATATATATCTATACTATAAATACAGTGAAATTCAATATAATATAATTCTAGAACAATTAGTAAAAAATTTTAAAAATTTCACTATAATGAGATTTTTTTAAATTTTATTATTAAATTCATTATATCAAGATTATTTTATTATAACGATTTTTGAGTCTATTTCATTATATTAAGATTTTTATATGTTTTTGCTATATTGAATATTTGCTATATCAAATTTTATTATGTATATATAAATTTTAAAATTTACAAATTTTATCTTCTTAATAATAAACAAAAAATTTAAAAAAAATTTATACTATAATATAAAAGCAAATCTATTGTTATTTTCTTAGAAGAGTAAAATAATAATTGTGCTAATTTAAACTTGTAATAAATAGAGTATTTCTATAAAAAAAAATAATAATAAAAATATTTAAATATCAAAATAAAAATAAAAAAAAATTCATAATTTAATATATTGAAATTTTCAATTTTCTTTAAAATAATTAATAAAAATACAGTAATTTTCAATTTTCAATAAAACTTCAAAAAATATCAAACTAATATTAAATTGTTATTAAAATGATATCTATTTATAGTAAATTTAATATGAATTGTAATCTACTTATATAAATTTATAATAAATTTAAGTATTGAATTAATATTGAACTGATATTAAAATAGTATTATTAAAAGTTCTAATTCTTAATAATTTAATTTACTTAATATATGTTCCATTTCAAATATTATTAAATAAATTAATATAAACAATTTAAAATTATTGTTTTAGTTAAATTTTATAACTTTGTTTTAATATTAAAATAAAAAATAAAAAAATATATATATTGAATTTTAAAGAAAAATAACAAAATCATATAAAAGAAAAATATGTAATAATAACAATTAATTAAAAAAAATTAAAAGTAAATTATAAAAATTGCAAATAGGCATTGAATACATAAAAATTCCAAGTTTTATTATTATAAATTTAGTTTTTTTTTCAAAACTAAAAAAAAAATATAATTTTTTTATAATATTTTAATTAATTATAAATTATCTTTAAAAAAAAAAATCAAATTACTTAAAATATTATTACTTTTTACAAATATCTGTATTTGATTTAAATCATGAGATGATAGTCATATGATAAGTCAATATAAAATCCAATATATGTATGTTATATAGCTATAATGTTAATATATTAAAATATTTTGACTTTTTTATTAATTTCAATTATTATAGCATTTTTGTATATACTCTTAAAAAAAACTATTTTAAACTATTACATCTTATTTCTTTTTTTTTTCCCATAGTCAAACAAATGTATACTATTTATTAAATTTTTACAAAAAACAAATAATGTATAGTACATTATATTATATAAACTATTTTATTGCCTTAAATATCTGTTTTTAATTAATGTTTTTAGATGAGATTTTGAAAATAAAGGTTACTCTTCTTATCATTTATTTGCTTATAAAGTTCAATTTTATAGATCATTGCTTACAGTTTATTACTATAGTTTATTTCAAAATCTAAACTATTTTTTATATTTCTAACCATTTTCTTTCTTTTTTAATCTATTCTCAAATCGAGATCTTGTCTAAGGATAGATTCCTAAACTGAATAACATATAAAATATTCAAATATATTATATCTCTTTTGAAAGGATATAATTATTTATTCATTACTTTAATAGGGACATAATTCAAAAAACACTTGGATCAAGTAGCTTAAATTTCAAAAAACATTTATAAGTAGTTTTTTTTTGATCTTATATTTAAAAAAAAACATTTTTAATAGTAAAGGATACTTGAATTATGTTCTCACCTTTAATTTAGGAACTCATCTTTAGTCTTGTTTGAATTTGTATAAAGGAATCTTCTGTACTATCTTCTTGTAACTTTCTTAGACTTGTTTTCTTCTATTTGAAACCTCTTGATTTTCTCTTCTTTTTTCTTATTTCATGTATATCTTTTTTCCTATATCTGTATATTTTAGGTTTTCTTTCTGAGTTCTATAATCTAGTGCATCTGTCATTTTATAGCTTTTTCCTAATTTGTTTACAAATATTTTTTGAAAACTTCTTTAGTAACTGTTTTGTTTTGCTGGTTTTGATCTTAAATTTGGCTATTGCTTGTTTTCATTTTGAAATGTTTTCTTTTGAAAAAAATCCTAAGCACAGGTTTATAATTTCTATACCTGTGAAGAATTTATGCCTATATCATTTTTGTAAAAACTCTTGTATTACAATTTGCTATTCTTATATTTCTTTTGCCTAAGTATTTTTCAGCCATTTACTAAGTAACTAATCATGGCTTTTGTTCTATATTTCTTTGTGTATTTTTGTGATACTATTGAAGAGAAAAAATATTCCAGTGATTATTTTTCTTGTTAACAATATAGACACTTGATCAGGTTTATGTATTTTATAGGAAATTTTTTGGTTATATTGTTCAGGATTGATAGTTCATTATACATTAATTTTATCTAAAAAACTTTTTTTCAAACTTGTTTAAACAATGTTGTTAAAGATTTTTCTATTTTGTTTGCTTCCCAAAGGTTTTTTTAATCAAAATTTTCTTGTTTGTTTATTTTTTTTGGTCTATTTTTTTTATATTCAGTTTTGATTTGTCCATTTTGTTAGAATACTTCTTTTATATATTTCTTTAACAAATTCTTTTATTCCTATATTAATAGAAATCTTATTCCAACATAATGTTGTTAAGACTTTTTGCCAATATTAACTGTTTTAACAAATTTTAGATTTTTCTTTTGCTGCTTTGATAAAAAGATCCACCTTGTTATTAGCCTCGTCCTTATTATAAGCTTTTACTTTAGTTATTTGAATCATGATTTGTTTTTTATATATTAGATCTATGTATCTCATTTATAGTTGTTAGTTCTTTTGCTTTCTGTTTCTTTTTCCTATATCTCTAATATAAGGGTTTAGAAGCTTTTGTAAAGTATTGATTATATATGTATTTGTATTTAATTTAAACATTTTTCAAAATCGTATTATGTTTGTATTACTAAGTAACAATTAGTAAATAATTGGGAATCGTATTTAATTCAGAATCATATTGTCGATCAAATTTCCTTTTATGGTAATAAGAAAACATGTATAGTATTGATGCAAGTTGTGCAATTTGTTCAAATTTCTATTTGACTTTTTTGAGATATAACCAAAAGTGTTAGAATGATTGTAACAAGTTTTACCCAAAGTGCTGATAACTAATTGTCTATTCCAGCTTGAAAGAATCTTTCTGGATTTGGTTCTTTGACTTGTAGCCAGATAGCTTCCATTTTTAATGTTTGGTCTCTTGCTTTTTCATATGATCCATCTGTATAAAAACAGTAGAACTGTTGGAAGTTGCTTTTTTTATTGATTTTATATTTTTCTATTAGGGCTTGTATATAGTCTAGAAATTAGATATGTTCTTTGATTATTTGTACTCCTCAGTCTTCTATTTCAACTACTATAATATAATTGTCAGTAGTCTCTTTTTTTTTGAAGTTTTTTTTTTGGTAAGATTTTTTAAGACATGTATACTAATTGAAATTTCAGGTTTATCTGCTTTTCTAAGAATTGAATATTGATTAATAATATCACATAATAGTAATCTGATTTTTGATCTTTTATTTTTTTCATAAGCATTTGTTCTGACT